CTCCAGGTGCCAAGCCCTACTTTGTTAGATATTTATACACTTGTGGTAGGCAGAATAATGCCCCCCTCCTGAGAGATGTTGTCATCTTAATCCCCAGAACTTGTGAATAAATTATTTAGATTTTGTGAGATAAAGTAACAAACATAAGAAGCCCATGTTTTCTCATTTCTTCTTGCAGTATAATTTCCCAAAGCCGCTTTCTGTGTGGTGACTTGCAGCTCTCAGGAAGGATGTTTTGAAGACAAAACAGGATAGAGAATGTGGCTCCCACATCTCTTTTCTAAGTCACTACATTTCTTTTTTAATTTTTCTTTCTTTTTCTTTTCTTTCTTTCTTTCTATTTTTTTTTTTTTTTTTTTTGAGACAGGATCTCACTTTGTTGCCCAGGCTAGAGGGCTATAGCAGCAACCTTGCTCACAGCAATCTCAAACTCCTGGGTTCAAGCGATCCTCCTGCCTCAGCCTCCTGATTAGCTGGGACCACAGGTATCTGCCATGATGCCTACCTGGTTTTTCTACTTTTAGTAGACATGTGGTCTCACTCTTTTTCAGGCTCAAGTAATTCACTCACCTCGGCCTTCCAGAGTACTGAGATTACGTGGGTGAGCCACTGTGCTTGGCCAATGTAACTTCTGAGCCAGTTTGATGTAATTTTGCACATTCTGGGCCCTCACTACTTGGATGTAAGCAGTGGGCTGAAATACTGTACCAAAGCAGTCTGACAGACCTGCTCCTGGGCTATAGGCCTCCATCTTATTTCTCAGTAAGACTTTTTTTTTTTTTTTAAACCGAGTCTAACTATGTCACCCTGGGTAGAGTGCCTTGGTGTTGCAGCTCATAGCAACCTCCAACTCTTGGGCTTAAGCAATTCTCTTGCCTTATCTTCCCAAGTAGCTGGGACTATAGGTGCTCACCACAATGCCCGTTTATTTTTGGTTGCAATTGTCATAGTTGTTTAGCTGGCCCGGGCGGGATTCGGACCCACCGGCCTTGGTGTATGTGGCTAGCTCCATAACCACTGTGCTACAGGTGCCAAGCCCGCAGGCACTCTTTATTTGAAATTATAAACTGAATATTGGATAAAGTAATGTTTTAGGGAGATTTATATGTTAGTAATGTGTAGGACAACTGGAAACAGAAAGATACTAAAGCATTTTTGTTTTATTTTGTCTTTTTTTTTTTTTT